TATCATCTCACACCTGTCAGAATGGCTATTATCAACAAACTAACAAGTGCTGGCAAGGATGTGGAGAAAAAGGAACCCTCATGCACTGCTGGTGGGAATACAGACTGGTGCAGCCACTGTGGAAAACAGTATGGAGTTTCCTCAAAAAATTAAAAATGGAACTGCTATTTGACCCAGTAATCCCACTTCTAGGAATATATCCCAAGAAATCAGAAACACCAATCAGAAAGGATATATGCACCCCTAAGTTCATAGCAGCACAATTTACAATAGCTAAGATTTGGAAACAGCCTAAGTGCCCATCAACAGATAAGTGGACTAAAAAACTGTGGTACATCTACATGATGGAATACTATGCTGCTGTAAAAAAGAAAGAACTCTTACCATTCACATCAGCATGGATGGACCTGGAGAGCATTATGCTAAGCAAAATAAGTCAATTAGAGAAAGATAAATATCACATGCTCTCACTTATTTGTGGAATATAATAAATAACATGAACTGATGAACAAAAATAGATCCAGAGACAGTCTGTTCATCAGAAGCAATGAATAGACTGTCAAACCTCAGAGGGAAAGCAGGGGTGGTGATGGTGGTGGGGGAGGTAAGCGATCAACCAAAGGACTTGTATGCATGCATATAAGCCTAACCAATGGACACAGAGAGTATGGGGATGAGGGCATGTGCTGGGGGGCAGAAGTGGCTAGGGAAAGGTCAATGGGGGGGGGGGAAGGAGACATATGTGATACTTTAAACAATAAAGAATAAACAAACAAACAAATAAGTAAATAAAGCTCATATAGCCCTAGCCGGTTTGGCTCAGTGGATAAAGCGTCAGGCTGAGGACCAAAGGGTCCTGGGTTCAATTCTGATCATGGGCATGAACCTTGATTGCAGGCTCTTCCCCAGCCCGGGCCCTAGTCGGGGCTCAAGCAGGAGGCAACCAATTGATGTGTTTCTCTCACATCGATATTTCTCTCTGTCTTTCCCTCTCTTCCACTCTCCCTAAGAATCAATGGGAAAATATCCTCAAGTGAGGATTAACCAAAAAATAATCTACACTAATAAAAGAGAAACATGGTAATTAGCGTACGACTGCTACCCTTTTCATTGGCTAATCAGTGAGTATATGCAAATTAACTGTCAGCCAAGATGGC